TGCAGCACCACGCACAGCATGGGATATACTCTGTGGTTGTGGATGGTTCCTTCAACAATGGTCACCGCGAGACATTTGCGGTGAATTTAAATGCACGGACATGTACCTGCGGATATTGGGTAATATATCACATTCCGTGCATTCACGTTCACGCAGTATGTCATCATTGTAGTGTCACTGTGGATCATTTGATTCCTAATGTTTTTTCACTCCAATCCTACATCAACGCTTATTCCGGCATCCTAATGCCACTTCCCGATGAGGCCGACTGGCCTACTCCAGGATACGAGATTGTGAGACCAACTGCACGAGCGAGAACACAAACCGGTCGACCAACAAGAACTCGCTACCCGAATAACATGGACTACCGACCACGACGACGTCGCAATGAACAATAGTTCAAATATCCAAGTTTATGTTTTATGATTTTCACAAATAAATTAGTGATGGCATGTGTTTTGTATCTTTAATTTTATGGATAAATTTTATGTACTCTATCAATAAATTTGTTGTAATTTACTTCTTATTTTTAATTCGGTGTATGGTGCATTATTTAAAGTCAATAAATATTTATTTTAACTATGAATTTTATTGTTAGTAGATTCTTTGTTTCATTATATTTCAATAATTTGTTGATTTTTATAATTTTTTATGTTTTTTAAAATATAGGAAATAAAGTAATTACTTCATTTTAAAAAAAAATTAAAAAAAAACAATGAACGGAGTTGGATACTCCGTTTCCTAATTAAATAATTGGAACGGAGTTGGCTACTCCGTTTGGGTATTTAAATGAGAGGAACGGAGTAGCCTACTCCGTTTCTGGTAAATTCTGCAGGCCAAACGGAGTACGCTAATCCGCTTTGCTTTATTTCGAAAAGTGTATAATAAAGTTACATATTATGGAATACAAAACAAGGAACTTACACATACAGGGAAATCACCCTAAAAAAACGGAATGTCAAAAGCTGAATTTCATTCTCAGGAATTGACCTTTCCCATTTGGGAATTAAGCTCAAAATTTTTTCCCTCATAGGGAAACCATCCCTTTGACATCATAGTATCATGGAAAATGCTAGGGGTACACCAAGGTGTACCCCATTTCTCCCCCACTCCCTCCATTACCATTTAAATAAACAAGAAATTTAAAAAAAAATTAAATAAATAAAAATAAAAAATAAATGAGTGGTTATGGAAGGGTGGTGTACAAATGGGGTACACCTTTTGGTATACCCTTAGCATCTCCCTAGTATCATACACCCCTACCGGAATATATACATCTTCCAACCGATGGCACGATATTTTTCTTACATTCACATTAAGTATCCAATTACGAGTCGTAATTGGATACTCACTTTCGAAAAAGTGAATTCTCATTCTCGGGTAACTATTTGAAAATGGGTATTCAGTTACTCGAAAACTAGTATTTTGTTACTCGAAAATGAGTATTCAGTTACTCGACAATGGATATCAATGCAAATTTACGAGAAATATCATACATCTGGATGTATGGTATATATACTCCTCCCATACTGATTTATGTTTTTCACTA